CTAAAATAGACAATGAGATGCTAGGAAGTTTCTCATATGATGATAAACTTCAATTAGAATGACAATTCTAGTGAGACTAGGAAGTTGTTCTTCTCAAAGGGAATGTACCCTTTGACTCCCAAAGAAATAATGCGTAAATAGAATCCTTTATGCATACGCAGAAAGGTGATTTATGTATTACATATTGTATGAAAACATTGATATAAGTTGTACCTAGAACGGTACAAGATGATATCAGTGCAAGCCCAGGATCAGAACCATGGCAACTGTCAAGTGAATCCTTAGGTATTTAAGAAATACTAAGGATGGATTCCTCAAGAATGAGGAAGAATTAGAGTAACGTAATGGAAGCGTAAATGTATTAGATTATGAATCTAATCCATCATAGAATATCTCTTCATTATGAATGAAGTGATAATGAGATATCTCTTTATTATGACTAAAGAGATATTTGGGTGGAAACGTTAAAAGTAAATGACTTTAATGTGTTCCATCATGTATGCAAAATATATTGCCATATAGAAGCTTACAACATTGTTGTTTGGATGGGAAAGTTCATTCATGAACTCTCCATTCGGTTCCAACCAGAAAGAGTATGACACTAATGGGGCGATAGCTCAAGCCAGGGAATCAAGGTCTCATCAAGGTCCGAACTCAAATGAGAGACTGAACCACATGATTGAGAATCATGTATAATGGTGACGTCGTTATTCTCAAGGTTGCTTCTATGGATAACATATAGATATCCATTGTTTAGGCCTACTACTCAGCCATTTATGAAATGAATTACAGAAGAGGTATCATCAATGATGACTAAGTTGATTGGCTCTAGTGCAAGTGGGAGATTGTTGGAAATGTGCCCTAAAACCAATCATATGATGATACTTTACGGACATTTCAAACTAATGTAGTTTAAATGTAAAGGGCAAAGATTATTGTTTGAGCCGTCTCATATAAATGTTATATGCTTAAACGATAAGTCCAAGGAATATGTGATTGGAAGAATGCGATCTAAAGAAGTTAGATTCATGAGACCATTCTTTCGTTGACACATCCTAAACGTTCCTGATCATAGGATTGTCAATTGGGCATTGACAGTCCGTTAAGATCAGTACGTGCTATGTCTTCTCTCAGGGAGAGTGACTAGTCTCGAGTCATTGGTGTGTGTGACATCAAGACAAGTACGTAGGTGCTCAATAGAGAATGAGTTCACTGAACACGATCAACGAAGAGTTCTCATATTCATGTCACATGAGAACTCATGGTTGGGATAATGCAAATTAGTCTTTTGACCTGAGGCATCACAGTTGTCTTGTGGTTAGGTCCTTAATCTTTGATTATGTCAAAGTCACTCCATCAGGAGGGTGTCCACGGCATCGTTGGGGTTAAGCCACTTAGCCATGGAGGCAAGTGAATGCGCAACAAGGGATCTCTAACCTTCAAACTGTTTGAGGGAGAATACTCTATGATATGATTAAGAATCTTTGGCCAAAGTATGCATGAGATTTAGGAATGTGTTCCAAATCACATTCAAGGTAATCATATAAGCACAAGACTCACATTGGATAGTAGACATGAATAAACTATCAAACCAAACAATGTGGTCAAGAGTATTGTATTAGAGAAAGACCGTATTGCATTTGTAATCCTAAAACTGAATAGGTTCTCCACCTCTTCTGATTAGCTTGGGTAACCACGACATGCTGCTAGGCGTCAACCATGGTTTGTGGAAGCCCTAAAAGTGTATTATCACTAACGGGAGAATTGAAAGTAAGTTTCAATTCACAATCGATTTGAAAGAGTTTGAATCGCCCACTGCCTCGCTAAAAGGAACCTAATGGATCGTACACCGTGTAAGGTAGAGATTGAAGATTCAACGGAGATGAGTAAGAATAATTAAATGGTTTAATTGTCTAAGGCTAGGATTAATTAATATGTTAATTAATCAAACGAATAAGTTCGTTAAAGACCTCGGGTTAGTTTTGGGCCGCAAGGCCCAATGAGATTTGAATGTCAAGCCCATTAACTCAAGTTGTATGACAACTTGAATAAACAAAGGGCTTGAAAGCCCAATAAACCCTATAGGCCGGCCATGTTAGAAGAATAGGGCTTTTGGTCCATTAGGTCACTTATTTGAAGGGACTATATAAAGGACTTTATAGCCTAAAATTCATTAATGGTTATTTTTGGGGAAAGGATGAGAACACAAGCTCTCCTTTCTCTCTAAAATTTCGGCCACCTTGGAGGGATCATCTAGCAATCAAACTCCTCCAAGGTCACTCATTTCTTCTTCATTATGCCTTGGTGATGAATCATTAGAGGTTCTCAATTTTGGGAACTTGGAGAAACCTTTTCATCCATCCAAATCCATGGATCTAAGATGCAAGGAATGAAGGCCCTCTCTTTGGGTGATTAGCCTTTGCTTATGCAAAGAGGAATCTACAAAGGTATTGATTTCTCAACTCACTTGGTTTTGAGTTGAGTCTTGGTTCACCTATCTACTAGGCTTTGAAGTTCATGGGTTAAGTTTTGTTTTTGAGTGCATATAAACATGATTCCGCCTTTTAATTGTTAATTGCATGTTGTTGATGTTGCTCAAATGAACTTGTTTTTCACAAATCTTCCTTCAAAAATATGGTAGTTTGACTAATGTTTCCTTCTTTGTAGCTGATTCCTTGTCTTCCAAGTCTTGAATTAATTTCTTTAACTCTTTAGCATATTCTTAGTCCTTCTTGAACTTCAATTTCGTCCATCCACCTTGCTCCAAGCATGTGCTATCCATTCCAAGCTCAAAACTGCTCTAAAATGCTCCAAATTGCACTTTGTTGATACTTTAGCCCTTTAGACATACAAACATACGAAAATAGCTTAAAATACTAAAATAACTAGGAACTAACAACATAAATGCAAGAAAACAAGCTAACTAAGTCGCATAAGTATGATCCTATCACCGATACAGCTCTACCCAGAGCTGGTGAGTCCATGATCAAACTTCTGAGATAACTGTATTCAGATCATCCTTACTCTGGCCTTGCAAAATCATGGTCCCACAATTGCCCCTAACTATCCATCTGAGTGGCAACCTGTTCCCCTTTAGGATGGATCGTTAGCCAAAGACCATGCCTTTTAGAGTAAGCTAGAATACATACTATTTAGTCTTCAATTTTTTTTTTTTTTTTGTGTTATAATTATTTATTTATTTTGCACTGATCTAGCTATTGACATTAAAGTGGGATAGTTGAGACGCTTCGATTTCCGTCAAACATCTTCTAAAATCGTGCAAAAATCAACTACAATGATGATGGAGACCTTCATTTTGCGTGCATGCTTCTCATGCATTTTATTGATTGGCTTCGATTCTTGCATGTGTTGATCTCTAGTAGACGACCCTTCATGTTCATAGGTGAGATCTTTCAGTGATTTGTCTAGTTAATAATTCTTAGGCTTGAGTTACTCTGAAAGAACTTTTTCACCATTAAAATCACTTAATCTTTAATTTTCTCCCAACATTCATGATAAAAGCCTACACTTAAACCATCCAGTCTTGGGGCCCTTAAAGCACCAATACGATTAGCTGCATCCCAAATTTCCTCGTTAGTAACTGATTTAAGAACTTGCACATTATGCTGGCTGTTAATGCAAGGGCTAATAATATCAGCCAACGAAACCATATTATCTGTAGAAGGGAGCCTATCACAAGAGAAACGCAGCTTGAATTCCTGCATGAAAACTTGCTCAAGACCTCACCATAATTCCACCAAAAACCACTATTATCTTTAATTTTTCTAATCTCTTTTTTTTTTTTTTTTTTACAAATAGTTGCTGCAGCTTAAAAGTATTTTATATTTTTATCCCGTAATTGTAACCAGTTAACCTTGGCTTTCTAAGCCCACACCATTTCCTCTTCTTTTAAAACTCTAGTTAACTCCTCTCTAGTTTTAACTTCCAACTCCATATTAATGCTTGTATTTTGATTCTTCATGACTTTATCCTGTATATCAACAAAACTAATGTAAATTTAAATATTACCAAACTCTTTATTCTTGCGATCTTTTATATTACCAAACTCTTTATTCCAGGTTTATCAACAAAACTAATGTAAATTTGCAATCGTCGGATTTCCCGTTGCAATTTGCCACCTATAATTATAAAAGAAACATAAAAACTAAAAATAAAATTTAAATATTGCAACACCTCTAAAATTCAACTTGAGTCTCACCTAATCATTTAAAACTCATATTATGTCGCTTACCCTCTTAAAACTCAACTCATGTCTCACTTTACCTCTTACCGTCAAAGTCCATAGGAAAATTTATTATTTTGTTTATAACACGAGTCACATTTGTGTCATGGTTAAACACAATTTTAATGGATTTAATAACAAATTATGAAGGTGTGAGACATAGTGGTCTCAGGAATCGAATGTTATGAAGTGGTAAAATTCAAATTTTCTAGCATTTTAGTCAAAAGAAACGTGAGGAAATTTTATTTATTGGTAAAAGGGTACTAATAATAAGGATGTAGGCTCAAAAGCCATAAAACAAAGAAGTTGAGGGATTGAAATAAGTGATCAACCGCATAGTTGCTAGAGTAAACTGATGCTCTAAATTTCAGTTGAGTAGAAGTCTAGAAGCGAAGCGGCAATGGCAAGCACTGCAAGCAGGATAATATGGTAGTAGAGGTATGATTGGGAAGCATATGCAGGGTTGGGAAGAAGTGGTTCGGGTGATATTTCTGGAACACGGACTGCAGCTTTCATACCCTCAAAACAGAAACAGAAACAGTAACCTCAACCGCTAAGGAAGAAATATGCCTTTGCCTCTGTCAAGTTAAACACGCCCCGACCACCTCTTGTAGTATTATGAAATGTTGCATCATCGTACCCTATCATTGACCCTTCAGATCCACCGCCTGATCTCATCATCTGTAAGGCAGATGAAGGAAGTTGGGTTTCTGGAAGACCACTCATAAAACCAATCTCCAACATATACACACAGGGCAACAGAAAACCATCACACAATACCATAAGTCAAGCCTACACAGAGTCAACATCCAAGATCATAATCCCACAAGTTAGGCTACACACGACTTACTTAGGATCATATACAAAACGCCTGTCAAACGCACCGCAAGCTTTACCAACTACGATAGTTCAAACCTCCTATTACAGTGGGAGGCTACACCAAAAACTAGTATATACACAAACTGCTGTTCTTCAGTAGGTAACCATAGTAGGGCTCAAGAGGCTCTGAGGCCTCAACAGAAAAACATGGAACTGGACACATTCTCCTTCAACCTGGGCAGCTGCGGGACAGGAACAGCTCCAGCAGAGGTAAGACCGCCATGGCTTGAAGATGTCTCAGACGCATCTTCGAATTTCATGAACTGTGACATCTGAGTGGCAGCTAAATGTGCATAGCAAATGGGGGCAACTGAAAAGAAAAATATTTAACCACGGGATTAGGATTTACTACTTGCAACTAAGCATGTTGTATTAGCATGAACATCAGGGAGAGAGTTGCTTTGCGTGCAAGACCATGACCATTCTTGAGGAGCCGCAGGAATAGAATGAAGAAATTTACCTACGGAAATGGCGGTGGTACTTCTCTGGTACCTGCAAGTGAAAAAAAAAAATATATATATTATTAAGGATACTAGTTAATACTAATGGCTAAACAAAGCAATGTAGTGCATAAATTTCACTTACACGTATGAAAGTGAATGCACTAGTTCCTGCAGCTCATCGGCTGAAAAACCAACATCGTCTAACAGAACATGATAGTGAGTAGGCCTCGTGGTCCCCTTTTGAAAAAAGAGAGTAAACCAGTTTAGTATAAGTCGTCCTTAACTATGACAGAAAAAAATCAGACGTTGCATATGAATGGTTCACAATTTCCCTGAAGAATCATTCGTGACCCCAGAGATCCACTCCGTAACATTTGGGGAAATTATTGGGAACAATGCAAAACATGGGAGTTAATAAAACATGAATATCTTAAGTAATGAAAATTTTAGGCACGGTTTTTGAAGCTTGCACCACGGTAATACTAATGCAAAGTAGCACAATCTAGATAGGATTCTAATTTACAAACAAGATACTAAAGCTGCAAAGCATAATATTGATACTCACAATCATTCCAGCTTGAGCACATAGATAGAAGTCATTGTTTCTTGGGTGACAAATTTTGTTGTCGATAATTGTCCCTGCAAAAAAAACCAATAAATTGTATAGGTACGTTGAATTATGTGAAAGGCTGAATCATGTTTAGAGTTGAATTTGTTCAACTGCGTTAGCCTACCAGGAGGAACATTATCTGGGGATTGAGGCTGAAAGAATTTTGTGTGGTGGTTCTTCTGAGCAATGATCACCACAAATTTAGGGGACCAAGTCTCATCCAGGAACTTGCATGCCTGATAAGAAAGGATAATTTAACATCATTTCAAAGTCGAAAACAAATTTGTACGTCAATGGTTAGCCCACAAAACCTTGATCCAATTTAATGTTCAAAACTTACCTCTATGATTTGATCCAGTTCAATGTTCAAAACTTGGTTAAATTGAGATTCGCTTACTCCATCCCTATATTCAACATAACCAGTCAACTCAAAGGTGAAGCATAAGCAAAGTTCTACCAAAATAAACTTGTACAGAACAAGATTAATCAATTCAACATGCTCAAACAGTATCTACAACAACAAAAAATGATAAAATACAAGTAATCAGTATCTACTCATGCATTATAAAGCCTGTCATATTTCCAACAGAGAATTTAAGTAAATTGAGTAACGTTAAGTTTAGAGCAGCAGAAAATATTCGAGTAAAACCAGTGATATGCACTGTAGTTTAATAAACGTGTAAAAAGAATTTCAAAGTAGATATCAGCAGGGCAGCATAAAATGTGCCTGCTTCCGATCAAGGTGGTAGCTATGGATTGTACAATTCAAATCCTGGTATATTTGGCATCCGCATTTGGCGCATAATTACACATTAAGACATACTGGGCAATTTATCGTGTCAAAATACAAATGCAATATGGAAACTAATAACCTTTAAAATTTAACACAGGAGAAATCAAAAGACGGAATTAAAAATTATTCATTAGAATTTGACCCATACATGAAAATGTATTAAAGAGCGTGTACAAAAAAAGCTAATAATTGACCCATACATGAGCACATGCACATTCAGACCCACTATAACTTAAGCTAGGACAGCAAATGTTTTTCAGAAAGAAAAAAAAAGAAACAAATTACGCTAGGGCAAACACCAAAATAAAAAAAATTAAAAAAATAAAAAATAAAAAAACTCCTACAAATAAGATACTGACTGTTCTAATTCTTACATGCACATAGTTTTATGAACAATAGCAGAAAATACAATTACAATTCATTTGATTCTAGGTTTTCTAAGAAATACCTGAAGATGATAATCTGGTCTGGTTTCTGTTTGCCTGAACTTGTATAGAAGTCCAAAAGCAGCTCTCTGAAATTAAGAAGAAACTTAACATTTGAGTGGTTTGGAAAGTATTTATGAAACCAAAATGTGAAACATAAAATGACATGAACATTCAAAAGAAAATGAATTTCTAAAACTTTTCTAAATATTTGAAGAAATTTGCAACGAATAAATGACTTCAAGATACATATCCTACCTCATAATGCCATCATCCTCTGTGTCAGAACCTCGTTTGTACAGAGAGTCTATCATCTCCACCTTGGGGGATTGTGTTCTAACAGATGCCCTGTAGCGAGAAATCAGTGGCCACTGCCTGGAGCTTACCACCTATAATTGCCCCATCAAATACAACATGAGAGGTCCATACGTATTTCTTGTCATCATGTGTACAAAATATGCAGAAGTTCAAGTGAACTAGCTGTAGTAACAACATTTAATCCAACATGTAAGACATAGAAGGCAGTTTACCGCAGCAATTGAGGGTACATCAGACTGCCCAGGAGAACCATGGGACACATCCATCCCAAGGATGATAGTGGGAGCCTTGGAAACCACAGGGATAGAAGGAGAATATTCAACTGCCAACAAGGAATTTAACCCACCAAGCTGCCAGGAATTATGAGGGCAAACCAAGTTTAAGATCACAGCCAACAGAAAATCTACTCATACTGACATCAATAAAATAAAATAAATTACTAATAATTAAAAAAATAAAATAAAAAAAATCACCTTTGCATTGATCTTTAACAGGACATTTGTAAGGTATTGATCATTGACCCTTGTGGGAGCAATGCATTGTGTCACAATACCATACTCAGCCAGATTCTTCCGCTTCCATGGACCTAGGGAATCAGTAGGTATCATTAGAGAGCATATTATAATTTATTTAGATAAAATGACTCAACCATGGACCTAGTGAATCAATAGATATCATTAAGAGAGCATATTATAAATGATTTAACATGTCAATGATAGTATAGATAATATGACCCAACCATATAAAGCAGAATTTTTTCTCTCCGGAAGCAAACAGAGAAGAAACTGTGGTTGTCCAGGAAGTTTGGACTGTATATCCTCAAACATCCTCTCAACTCTAACCAAAGGTGGGGCGCGCCTAGACTGAGGATTCTCTTCAAACACATCAAATGGAGCCTCGATTTTCTGTCAGCAGGTGAAGAACGGAAAAATAAAACAAAAGAATAAAAATGAAATTATCTAAGTTATTTGAATACATACTGTAGCAAATGTGCAAGTGCAAAACTTACAATTCCTTTCATATCTCCACATTTGATCAGATCACGGACAAGAGCTTTTAGATCACAGCGTGCAGAGAAGTTAACAACAGCCCACTTTTCTATCTTAGTCGGCTTCACAAGTGTCTGCATTTCAACAATATAAATGAACCAAAGAATCAAAATACTGATATAAGGTGAAAAGTAATGGAGAGAGAAAAGGGGGTCATTAAAAACCTTGTTGTTGAAATTCCAGCGCCCGTTTCGAGGGAAGAAATCATCGCCATTACCGACTTTAAGCTGTCAAGGAAACCAAATCAATAAGTAGACGCACAACAGAATAGGCTACATCATACAGGTATATGTGGAAAATACCTTTGGGGCTGGAAGAACACGGCCTTCCACTTGAGTAAAGCTACCACCAATTGAAACACCACATGAGTGTAGCATTGGTTCAGCATCATAATTATTGATTTTCAAAGCCTGCAATAGTAATCATGTGATTTAGAGTCATGGATGCATATACAATGAGTCAGATGTTAATGAAGACACATACATTAGACAAAACACTCATCCTCTCTTGTGGCTTCTGCCTTGATTTCTCCACCAGCGAAGCTCTTTGAAGGGTGGAAAGAGCTTTTGTGTAACGTTGCAAGGACACCAAAGAACAAAGCTGGAAGAAAAAGTTCAACAAAACCACCAAGGTCAAGGATAAAAATAAATCATCATATTTGTAACAACAAAAAGAAAGAAGAATAAACTCAGCTTGTTACCTCCAGGGGGATATAAGTAGGACGTTTTGGTTTCCCAACATTAAGGCAGGGTAGATCAGCCGAGTAACGCAGCTGTATATTACGATGATTAACAAAATAATCATAAACAGTCACTTCTATTTCTGCATCTTCCCCTTCCTTTGCTTGCTTGTTTCTCAATGTAAAACTGGATCATACACAATAAATTGAGGGCGTTAAGAACAAGAACACAAAAAAAATAGTTGCAGTAAGGATAGAAAAAGCACCATGATGCAAAAACATGAAGATAAAATGGAAACATAGTTTCGTTCAAAAAAACATATACGTTTGTTCTCGGCATGGTTTCTCGCTCAATCCAGTTATTTTAAACTCTTGATTTGACGGACTTGTTTTGACCCTCAAATTCTTGAGTATTCTTTTAGCCTGTTCATTGAAACAAACACAGATTATCGAAAAGTAAATGAACATAATAACACAACAGAATAAATAATGACATGAGTTTGTTACCTTCGTCCAGTCAAGTTGGAAAGGATCTCTAACACTTTGGTTGGCAATTAAAAAGTCTACCACCGGCCCTGGCTGTATGATCATGGTAGTCGATACATCTGAAAATGTACACTTCAGAATAGGTTAAAATACAGTAAATTTTGAATAATATAACAGAGAAATAAGCAATATAACTCACCAATGTTCAGAGACAAGCCACCCTGGGTGGTCCTAAAACTTGAATGGAATCCTCTGCACCCAAGAACACCACCTCCAACATCCGCAAAATTTTTTGGATCATTATGGAAGAATGATTGGCGAACTAGGAGGCATCCTCTGTTGGAATCAAGGTTTTCATTAGACAAGATAGAATCCATCCAAAATATAACATAAACACAAAACTATGTGGGGGAAGGAGAGAAGGGAGAAAACTAGACAGAAAGGATAAACTTCACTCACTGCTTCGATGCATGCTGTCTTAATATGATATCCAGGACTCTCAGAGCTTCTTGAGAATTCTCTGATTCTTGACCACGAAGAGCATCTCCAATTGCTTTCATGGGAATTTTTGCAGCATAGCTGATCTCCACATTAAATGTTTTGGAGCGATTTGGACGCCGTAATCTCTTTCGGTCACTCTCATTTGGACTCCCAGGACCATCAGGTTCACAGTTTCCATTGTTCCTGTATAGAAACAAGTCCAACAGTAAGAGAATAAAAAGGAGATCTAATACATTCGAAAGAAACCATGGCCCTTCCTTACATACCTGCTTGATGGCACATCCTCCAAAACAACGGCAAATTCAAGTTTGTTGCGCGGAAGGGATCCAACAGTAAACAGGCTCTTCTCACCATCATAGGCAAAGTCCTTTCCACCTAACTCAGAGTGGTATGTCTCATGCACCCTTTCAATTATTCTTCTTCCAGCACCCTTGCCATCAAGGGGACGCCCATCTTCATAAGCAACAGAAACCTATGTATACAGTATAAAAATGAGAACTAACACTGAAGATAAAAGAAAATGGAAGAATGCACTGGAAATACATGGAAAGCATATGGAGCTTACACTATAATGGAAGAAGTAACCCTCAATATTAGTAACATTCACTTTGAAGTGATTTGTGACCAAGGGTATTTTTGTTCCCTTGGTTCCAAGGCCACGCCTAGCAATAGGGACCCGAGCAGGTTTTTTCTTAACAGGTTCAGGAATGTTATCTGCTTCCACATGCAAAGGAACAACATCCGGTGGAATAACCGGGGGTGGGGGTGGCAACGCATCCTCTGCCCCATTAGCTCCATTCACCCCATTTGCTCCATTCACTCCATTTGCCCCATTAGCTCCATTCACCCCATTTGCTGCATTTCCATCTGGCTCAAACGAATCCATATCCTACAACATAACATAAGTATGTAGATGAGATACAACAAAGGAAATATATTCATGCTAAAGCAGGAATTGAATTCCTATATGCAGCACCGGAATTCCTAGCAAATTAAAAATGCACTTTGACGAGAACAGGAATATATAATATTACACTTCCTGTGAGGTGGAATGCAATAACCAAAATCAAGTCAATAAACAGTGGTGTGATTGCTCTAATGACAGCAAATGAATCTTCCTAGATGTTAAAGGCATAAAAGAATAAGAAACCAAAAACAAGAATGGCCACAGATACACAACGTTACTGCTTAATAAATTTAGAGAAAGAAAAATTGCAGTATGACACTGATTACTCCCTTAGGACTAGGAGTTAAAAGCAAACACATATGGAAACACAAAAACCTACGCTAGCATCAGAACCCCTTGAAAGATTTGAAAACATGTGAGAATGACCCAGAAACTTAAGTAAGCCACACAGAACAAAGAAACAAACAAAGGAATTGATTTGATTCAACAGAAAGGTGTAAGGAGATCATACAAAATTGTAGCAAAAGTTCAGTACAAATCACATCACACGTATTCAAAGGTGGATATAGAGTGATAATACAATCTCTTTTTTTAAAAAGGATGCTGCCCTGATTTTATAATTAAGAAGCAATTTCTGGAAAGCCACATATGAGAACTTTTACTCTGAAGGCTCTAAACTTCAAACATCGTTTTTGCTTCAAGAACTTGAATTTTGAGAACAATAAATAGACCTACAAGGCCGAAGTTGTGATATAAAATTGACTATATTACAATGCACACTTTATAAAACACAATTAATTGACAGGTCATCTAATTCTCCACTGAATTGAGTGGACAAGTCACTGAATTAATGACCAAAATCATACAAATATCTCATAAGGCATCCCAGTATTGAGAAAAAATATTTGACACCGACCAGGGACATTTTGGAAAACACATGCACACAAGTAGATAGCCTTATGCAGAGACTTTTAATAAAATTTAATGGCGCATAAACCAAAAATCAAAGCACCATATCAACAACAGTCGGAAAGAATCTCCAGAAGTTGATATATACAAAAAGAGAAACAGTTTCCTCAAGCAAGAGAAACAAGAAATTATAAAAAGGGACAAATAAAAGGTAAAAACACCTGTGATTTTTTATAAGGGTTTGTCAACAAAAATGAAAAGCTCAGTTTAGCTAAAAAAACCACACATGCAAGCATCATAAGAAACAAGTCAATGAAAATCATAATGATATATATATATATGCGTATAATATATTCACAACCCATAGATCTAACCCGAAAATTCTAAAATCGAACAGAAAAAACCCACATGCAGAGTGGTGGAAACCAGTCAATGAAAATCAAACATATACAATGATGTACAAGTATATAACATATGCAAAACACACATCTAACCCAAAAACTTCTCAAATCGGAAAGAAAAACCAAAATTGAGAGTGGTTGAAATGAGTTAACTTGAACAACAGTAAGAATACAGAAAGAAACAGACAAGCAAGTGGAAAAACGAAACATTTACTGTATATTTTACCTAAGCGCACAAGAAACCGCTTCTGAAATCCAGCCGTGAGGACTCTTCAAACCAATCCAGCAGTGAGGACTCTTCAAACCTGCAAGTCAAACACACAATTGTTATGCAATGATCGGCCTCAGAAGTCGGAAACACCAGAAATGCCCAAAAAATTAGTCCAAAACGCACAAAAGCTCGTAACTACAAAATACTGAAGCCCAACAAAAAATTGGAATAAAAGAAAATCAAACCAAAACTTGAACTGCGAAATCAGCCGGGTCCAAAACTCTAAGTGCATTGTTCAAAACACACAAAAACAAGAGAAAAAGCTGCACCTTTCAGAAACCCTTTTCCTCTTATTCCAGAAAACAAGACAGAATTTGAACTTTTCCAGAAAACCCTAGACAGAATATGAGATTTTCAACTGCAGCAGCAGCCATGGGAGAAACCAGAGAAGAGAATAAGCTGAGAAGAGTGAAATACCCAAAATGCCCCTGAAGCAAAACTCAACGACTCAGAAACCAACCACCACCAGACAGGCCCAGAAAACAAATTTCGGGTTTTGAAAAGCCAGAAGAGAAAAAAAAGCTGGAAAACGCCGCTGCGGCTCACCTGAGAAACCCTAAAACGGCTGAGAGAGATGAAACTGATGAGACCGACGACTGAGGAAGGAGCTCTCAACTTTTTCAACTCTCTCTCTCCTACTTTCTCTCACTCCACTCTAATTTACTCTCACTCCTTTTCACCCACAACAACCAACCATTTATACTCTGTGCGGTGCCATTCCTGCGATTACACTGACCGTGTCAAAGGGCCTCAATCGACGGTGCAGATTGATTTCGATCCGAGCATTAAATGCTCCCTCGATCAACCGAAACGCGCGCTTTTGATGTCATCCTTCGTTTGCCCCGTGGGCTGTTTTCCCCGTACTGTTTTTACGGTCCTGCCACTGCTTCAATTCTTGAATGACTGTTGTGTCCTTTCTGCGGGGCCTGTCTACGGGAATGTCATGTCGTATTGATTATAGGGACAGGACGATGGGCAGCATTGTCATTAAACGGTGAGTTTGTTGCTCTTTCACCAATCACCATTGCGGTGACCACGTGGCTCACGGTCCATCAACAGATCTCATTGCGGGTGGGATGAGCATTGTTACCTTTTTTTTGGGACATTTGGGACCAGTTTGAAATTGTTTTACTTTTAAAGCAAAACAGCTTTTAAAAAAATCTGAAACATCAAATATATTTTGTAAAATAAAAAAAATACTTTTTCTAATATGGCTGGAAATGACATAAAGTAGAAGTATGATTTGTCATGTTTATTAAAAAAAGTGTTTTTTTTTCAAATTATAGTAATCAGTACATATTTAATGAAATATTCAAATAGTAAGTACATTCTCACATATTTTACAAAATCGCATTCATTTTCTTTAAATTATTATTTTTAACAATTATTTATCATATTAAATACATATTATTTTTTATCATTTAATATAGGGAAAACCAATAAAAAGGCTTTGAAAACTTTGAATATTAACTAAAAATCATGTAATAACTTTATTTAATGGTTAGGACAAACCCTTCTGGTTGTTCCATATAGAATTCTTCATCCAAATCGCCATTTAAAAATGCTATTTTTACATTCATTTGATGCATATGCAAATTATATAGGGAATTGTTATTAGCACTTTAAAAATCTCATTTGGCACTCCAAATTTTCTATAATTAGAAAGAAAAATACACTTGTGAGGAGTGTAGAATAAGATCTTTGGAGTGCTAATAACAATTCCTATTATATAAAGATGTCAATGCAAACAATACCCTAATTGATGTGAGCCTAGCTACTGGTGCATATGTATCGACATAGTCTAATCCCTTTTTTCTGCTTAAAACCCTTGGCAACTAGCCTAACTTTAAATGTCTGAATAGACCCATCAATATTGTATTTTCTTCTAAACACCCACTTACAACCTATTGATTATTATCCCTGAGGCAAGTCTACTAAAACTCATGTTTGATTAGATATTAATGACTCAAATTCATTATCTATAGCCTTTTTCCAAAAAACTGCATCTCTTAAAATTATTGTTGGAAATGTGCCCTAAAACCAATCATATGATAATACTTTACGAACATTTCACATGTTAAACTAATATAGTTTAATATAAAGGGCAAAGATTATTGTTTTAAGCTGTCTCATATAAATGTTATATGCTTAAATGATAAGTCCAAGGAATATGCAATTGGAAGAATGTGATCTAAAGAAGTTAGATTCATGAGACCATTCTCTTTCGTATACATATTCTAAACATTCTTGATCATAAGATTGCCAATTGAGCATTAACTCAAACGCATGCTCGTTTTATCCCACGAATGCTTAAAACCGTGAAAATACACTCCAAATGGAAAAATAGTGTACTTTTGACGGCAAATAAGCGTTTGATCTTTTGAGATCTCATTCTTAACATCTTAGTAGCGTATTATATGTAGTTATTTGCTTAACTTCCAAACCGTGTCAAACCCACGCTCATTTTATCCCAGTGACATTGAAAGAACAAGATAAGAGCATAAACACTTCAAACCCTCTCAAAGAAGCAAATAAGCTCAAAATAACTCACTAGGGTAGTCTCCATTATTCTTCTTCCAGAATTTGAGCATGGTAATTTTACCATCGTAATTCCTAGAGTAACAGCTTTGTAAAAGAAAATAAGATACGAAACTTTTTCATGACAACATTGTAGTTTTGTTTGTTAACATAGCCCTCATATACATTCACATTAGTAAGTAAAAGAAAACTTAACCAAAACTAAAAACAAAGGAAAATTTTCAATCCCACACCCCTAAACCTAAACTAAGCATTGTCCTTGATGTTTAAAAATGAATGGAATGCATGTAGTGCAAATAGGCAAAGTGTGTGGAATGGAGATAAAATAAAAGGAAAGAACACAAACCAAGCTAGGTTGCCTCCTAGCAAGCGCTTATTTAATGTCTAGGCAAGCCGCGGTGGGTATGATGGATGAACGCCTAGTGTGGCAGGAAGTCAAGGTACCTCAGAACCTTGGTTGAAAAAAGTGGTTTCTTTCGAGGGACTTTGAATATGGTGCTCATTCCAAGTACAAATATATGGTTAGTATAATGGCACAAGTAAAGGTGTCGAACCGCAGAGACTGATTAAACCTCTATAAATTACTAACCTTAAAAGAACCCTAACTAAACAATGAAAATAACAAATTGAATGTAGGTTTTGTGCTATTAATGAGAATAACTAAAAGTGCAGAAAAATGTAACAACGAATGATATGTTGATTGAGAAACGATGAGGATGGGTCTAGGAATTTTGAGTTCACCATTACAAAACCAATTCCATGTTTATAAAGTTAAACCGTATTCAATTACCAACCTGTTTCCAGAGTTCGTTTTACATATATATGATCAGCTATATGATGTGTGGTTTTGATCAAATTCTCCTAATATACAACCTAATTGGGATGTTCAACTTCGGTTCCAAATACATGGCAGGATGTTTGCATAGCATTCTCTTCATTCATTCACATGTCTACCAAGATTAAGTATGATGTTTACTATAATCTTGATCAAATGATCTGTAAGAAATCCTAATGGTGATCAATCATTAAAATTAACAAACAAATTTAATAAAAGATTCAGCGAATGAAACAAGAGACAAATTGATGAGGGTAACATGCAACTAGTTTAACTCAAAAATATCACAAATGGACTAGGAATGGATGGTATAAATGTACGAAATATATGAGTTATCAAATATGGTGTATTGAATTTCCACAAGGACTTGATTGTGATGGTGTTTTTGTCTTTTGATGTGATAAATAATAGCACTCAAATTAAATCCTCTTATTGGCAATTATAGTAAAGATGTAAGTAGGGATCATTCTAGGCCGGGGATTAGGAGGGATTGCTAATCTACTCAAAACTGACTCAAAAACATAACATTAGGCTTGAAAACACTTAACTAGACTCAAAGGCTCTTAACTAAACTTATATAACTCAAAACAAACTAAAAGACTCAAAACAGCACAAAACAATCAAATAGACTCAAAACAGACTCTAGGACTTACTTTGGATGAAAATTGAATTGGTTTTGACTCAAAACACTTAAAAACACAATTTGGACAGGTTCTAACTAATTTGACACAACAAAGTAAAGGGGATTGGGTTTTTTTTGAGGAATTTAAAGTAAAAACAAGTAACTTAAAGACTTAAACAAAGTTTGGCGCGAAATTGGCTAAATGGATGGGTGATTAGCTAGCTAGAGGGTCCTTTTCCACACATGATATACTTGCATACAAATTGATTTCTAGTTGTTTTTTTAATAAACCATGAACCTCAACACCTCAGATTAACTGTGACATCACTAATTAACCCTCAAATTTTCCTTAAGTTGTTGAATTGGATGACAACGCATCTGTAACCAAATTATTTTTCCCAAGTTCCCTACATGAATTGCATAATAGAGACACAAGCAAAGATCATTAAGTTTCATGAAAATCATAAACATTGACAAGGCATTCGTAACTATGACATCATGATACTCATGCCAGGAATTTAACTTAACATGATTGTGACCAGCAACCTTTACTACTTGTGAATATAAGTTTGTAACGATTATGTGAAACTCCCTTATATTCTAGCATCAAATTCAAGCATGCAAACTAAGTAGGTCTCCTTAATCAACATATAAGAATAAGTTCTTAATCAAAGGGTTAAGTAAATTGCATTCACAATTTATGAAATCACAACTGGAATTAATCAATTTATATCACAAATATAATCATGGTTTCAAAGTTTCCTCTAGCTAAAACAAGTTTAGCCTCTCATGTTCACAACAAAACAAAGAGAATTTAAATTAAACATTGAAAACAAAGGATAGATTACACCTAAAAACATTCCAACAATCCAACTTGAATAGCCAAAAACATCCAAGGTTGCTTCTCCTCTCCTTCTTCCTTGATAGGCTGTGACATAAGGGTGTAAGGGTGTAAAATTGGTTTGTGGTGTGTTATGGTGAAGGATTGATGAATGGTAGGGAAATATGATGGAAAATAGGGTGCGGAAGTGTGTATGGATGGTGGTTGAATGGAAGGATGCGGCTATGGGTGGTGAGAAGAATGAATAATGGCTGAATTGTGTCTATGAATGAATGGATGTGTGTATAGGTGCGGCAAGGTGTTAATATTTCAGGGAAAGGATCTTGACTTTAATTAAATGTTTTTGGAAAGAATTGGACCCCAAATCCACAAGGAGAAGGAGAATTAAAGTCAGAATCCCGAGGGAAAAGGGATAGGAAACTTGCGGCAAGGACTAGGAAATAGGAAAAGTGTTTCCCTTGCACGACAAGGAAGAGAGAAAGGGTAACGTGGTTCGGCATCCCACTTTGGCTGGGATTAAGGCTTCTAGAACTTATATTTAAGTGTCCTAAATTAATTAGAGACCCTCTTTCGTAGCTGGAACTTATGTAGGAAAAGATTAGGGAAGCAAAGTCGAAATAAGGAAGTTTGACTCATGCTTCCCTCTTTGTGGCTGATTTCTTTACTTCCAAATCTTGAATTAATTTCTTCCATCTCTTTAGCAGATTCCTAGCCTCCTTTGGTCTTCAATTTTGTCCATCCACCTTGCTCCAAGCATGTGCTAACCATTCCAAGCCCAAAACTGCTCCAAAATGCTCCAAATTGCACTTTCTTGCCATTTTAGCCAATTGAACCTACAAACACACGAAAATAGCTCAAAATACTAA